CAAATAGTCTTATTATGTTGCTAACTGAATGTTGAGTCAAATTTTGAAAAAAAAAGATAATTATTTTAATTTGTTTTTTTGAGCTAAACCGTTAGACAGTACCATTAAATTAAGTTAGTATTAGAATAGTATTTTAATACTGTGTTGTGATAATCATTATAGTTAAAAATAATAATGTATCAGATTTAAAACATTAACATAAACTTTAAGCCATTTTATATGGTCCTGGCTGCTTTTTAAAGCTTCTGTTTATAATTCATTAATTGTATAATTCAGTTTAATAGAAAAATGAAAGTTTAGTAATACTATTTTGTTCTCGAGATAAGAACCTTGCTAATTGAAAAATAACTTGTTTATCATTTTACAGAAAAAAAGGCATCGAGGTTGTATTTGATGCAAAAAATATATTTTTAGGTTTGAAACTTTTAAGATTTAAATAAACTAGGTGACAAATTTTCTTTACATTTAAACATTAAGGATAAAATATTAAAAACATGATACACATTTAAAACATGCATTTTTTTAAAGTAATTTTTTTTTCAAATAATTAAGGGGCCTATTCCTATTTAGATCTTATTTATTGCTTGACTCTTCATTCTGCAAAGTCTTATTCGTTTACTATATCTGTCCCTGCATGTTAAAAACTTTTATTGGTCTCATTTTTTCCCTACATTTTAACCCTTCAAAACTCTCTCCCATCTTCATGTTTTCTTGTCTCATACAACCTACAACTTATCAAGCCTTCTGCCAACCATTTCCTTGTTCTATAACTATATTCTTTTTTTCTCTAGTAACTCCAAACTTAATAGTAGTTGCTTGCAGCCTTGTTGAAAGTGAATCAGAACAAAATTTAAAAAAAAATTGGAAAATTGCTTTATTAGAGTATGTACCCCTTTAGCATCTCTAAATATCAAATTAAAAATAATTTAATTTTTTATATCACTATGTAACTGTTTTTTTTTTTAACATCCTCACTTCCAACAAGGTTGAAAGCAACCACTATTAGAGTTGGAAGTTACTGGAAATGAAAAAGTGAAGTTTATAGAGCAAGACAATTATTAACAATGAATCGATCATTTATTTTTGAATTAATGTTTTACATTCAAGGATGTTTACAAATAGTAAATATACTAATATAAAGTAAACACCTACTAATGTTAATAATATCTAATTAAAATAAATATAATGCTAATTTTCACAATATATAGTAACGATAATAAACTTTATAACATAAAATAATGATGTAATATAAATAACGATGTTATAACAATAATAACAAAAACAATAATATAACAATAATAATAACAATAATAACAACAATATCAGTATTAGTATTAATAAAAATGAAAAGTTGTTATCAATAGTAAATATTAGTAAAAATAACAAAATAACAATAATCAATAAAAAATATAGAATAGAAATTGTAATATATATATATATATATATATATATATATATATATATATATATATATATATATATATATATATATATATATATATATATATATATACATATAAATATATATATATATATATATATATATATATATGTATATATATTTATATATATATATATATATATATATATATATAAATATATATATATATATATATATATTATATATATATATATATATATATATATATATATATATATATATATATATATATATATATATATATATATATATATATATATATATATATATATATATATATATATATATTAGGACAACAAAAATTGATTATAGAAATTATAAACATATTTTTTAAATAAAAAGTAGAATAAACTGGTTTTAAAAGTTGAAAATGAATTGAGAGCTTTTAGTTCATAAGGAAGGTTGTTCCAAGTTTTAGTGCTTTGATATTTTATGGATTTATGCCCGTAATTATGAGAGCGGTGTTTAGAGACAGACAGGTTTAAATTACTCTCGGAACGAAGGTGATAACGATTGTTGGCACTTTTGGAAAAAAAATTAATGAAAGGTAGGTTATTGTGTTGGTGGTTCCAGACAAATTGACAGTTGAATATAGTCACATAGTTTTAATACTTTAGAAGTTAGGATTAAATTTAATATTCTGAAAATGAATAATTTTTAAAGCCTTGTTTTGGAGGTGGGATAACCCTAATAAGAACTTGTTGATGGGACTGTCGCCATACTTGGCATGCATATCTAAGATGTGAGCCAAAAATAGCATGGTATATGTTCAAGAGTGTCTCAAAATTAACATAATGGCAAATTTTGGCCAACATACTATTAGATCTACTTAGTATCATTGCTAAGTCTTTACAGTGGGATAAAAGAAAAGATTTGAATTGATTTTTATACCAAGATATTTAATTGAGTTAACAGGTTCAATTTTTTTTGCCACTTAATGTAAAGTTTATGTTTATAGATTTTTGTTTTATTTCATTTAAAGATAATGAGTTCAGTTTTATTAGAGTTTAGAAAAAGTTTGTTGGAGTGAAGCCACTGTACTAGATTGGCAAGATCGTGGTTAATGTGTTTGTTAATTTTTTTAAGGGATTTATTAATTAGTATTAGATTAGTATCATCAGCAAAGTGGTAAACAGTAGCAAACTTAATGGATGTATGAAAATCATTGTTATAAAGAAAAAGCAGTGGTCCTAATACTGAACCCTGAGGAACACCATTAGAACATTTTACAAGGGTAGATTTTGAGTCATTAATAGAAACAAATTGTGTTCTATTGTTTAAATTTGTAGCGAACCATATAAGTGGTACGCTTCTGATCCCATAATATTCTAATTTTTTCAACAAAATTGAATAATCTAACGCTTGTCAAACGCTTTATGTAAATCAACAATTTTGGCAACTTTAAAAATATCTGGGAAAAGACCACTTTTAAATGAGTTATTTATAACAGTACCGAGAGGCTTTGAAATAATGTTTGAGACTAGTTTAAGAAGAAATGTAGGTGCGCTATTAGGACCAAGACTTTTTTCTGTTTTAAGCGTGTTTGCAATGAGACCAGATATTTCATTTTCAGTTACTGGGTTAATAAATAATAAATTAGCATTTGGAATGTTAAGAAAGTCACTAAATATGCATCTAGCTTAGTAGTTTGTTGTGTATAGTGCTAAAGTAATTATTAAATATATTTTCGTTCAATTTAAGTTTTAAAATGTATTGTGTGTAGAAGGTCTCATATTAATGATTTCTTTTATTCCCTTCCAGGTGTTTTTAATATTGTTCAGATTATTATTAAAATAAGTAATAAAGTATGTTTTTTTGCTAAATTTTAATAAAATAAAAATTTTGTTTCTATAAAATTTAAATTTTGCAAATAATTCATTTTTCTTATAAATATTTTTTGGTTTTATAAACTTTGTATAAAGTTTGTTTTTAACTGAAATAGATTTAAGTATTCCATACGTAATCTAAGGTTTTGATTTTAGTCTATTAGTTTATTTGATTTTAACACACAACTTAAAAGATTGCAAATTTTATGAGTCAGGAAAACAAGATGAAGAGAGCAAATTGAATGATGATTTGATGAAGTCACAGTTAAAGGATGAGATTTGATTAAATGACCAGTAACACAAGAATGAAGTAGATAAAAAAGAGACGCTAGCTCTTTAGAACAGTGTCCATTATAGTATTTATAGAAAAGAGAAAGAGATAACATTATGACAATGTAATAATGGCTGGAGTTTGGCTGCAAGAGCAGGTTCAACTATGTTTACAATGCGTTTTTACACCATGTCTAAAAGAAAAAAAGGACATCATTGCCTGAGATATGGCAACAGTTTTCCATACAAAGATGGATTTTGCAATCATTATGATATAGGGTTTCCAGAAAGATTAAAAATAATAGCTAATCCAAGAAGATAAAGGGTAGATGACTCACCAAGTACATTACCGTTTATGAATATAGGAAGATCTAGATGATTGTGATAATGATTAGCTTGTAATTGAACCTTAACTCTGATAAAAATAACTTTTATCAGAGTTAAGGTTCAACAGCCCCTGAGAGCCACATCTAGCAGAAGTGAGATCCTCTCCAGCTTAAATGCCCCTTCTAAGTAATCAGAGAGTGTTGACTTCTTATCAAGACAAGAATACAAAAACTAATTTTTTTTTATACCCTTTACAACTCACATTAAGTGAGTAATCATGTCAAATATCTACAAACTAAGGCAACAGGTATTTGCTCAAGTTTTAAAAATAATAAGTTTTAGCTTATTTCACAGATGTTTTTATAATTTTTTTTTTTTTTTTTTAAAGAGTAAAGCTAATAAATTTTAAAAGAATTAACCAAAAAGATAATTTATAGTACCAAGATAATTTAACCCATTCTTGTAAACCAGCATGACAGCTTTATTTTAAAGCTATTTTGCATTTTTGCAATTAAAAAAATTCTTTTCAATTAAAAAATTTAAATTCAGGACATTTTGAGGACATTTTTTGCTACTTACTTGTTACAGTCTTCTTTGTGATGAACTAAAAATAAATGTTCATTTGCCAAATCAAACAAAATCATAAAAATGCAAATATAAACAAAAAATGATGGCAGCAGAAAAAATGTTTGCTTATTGTGCAAAGAAGAAATGTTAACATAAAGCAATTTAAAGAATCAAGATTTAAAGAATCAAGAAGTCTATATCACTATATCTGCTCTGAATTTAGCTGGGAGATAAATTCAGATCAGATATAATCAAAGAAAAGATGTGGCTATATATCTAGATCTATATAAGTTTGTAAAAATACAAATTAGGTGTAAAACTTATGGGCAACCTTGTGGCTGTTGTGATCTCATTGATATAGAATGAAAAGGGAATAACTTAGGTTTGAGTTATATCACCAGGATTTATTTTAAGCTAAATATTGTCATCTTACATTTGCATATTTTAATATGGAAAATATTTTCTTATATTAACAATAAACAAAATTATTCTTACCTTTAAAATTTTTTTTTTCTTTCCTAAACTGTTAGTTAATGATCAATAGAGTAAATTTCAAATCTTGAAAATTACTAAATTAAAACCATTTTGCAACAGTATCCGACAGACTGTTTCTCAACAGTATCCACACTAAAATGAAATAATGTTGGTAAATATAAAGAGATATTCAATAGAAAAAATTTAAAGGTTTTGTTGATTAAAAGAAATTTAACATAAACTTTTGTTTTTTTAGTTCTATATGTCCAATTATTAACTAATCTGTAGCTATAAATTTTTTTTAGCTTGCCTAAAAAAGCCATTTAAAAATGTCTTCTTAATCGGGTCAATGAATCTTCTTTATGTAAAGGAGAGCATGCAATTAAAACATTATCATTAGGTATCTTCACATTTAGAAGAACCCTGAGGCTACAAATACTCCAGGATCTTTCATTTGCACTTTATTTAGATCAGTGTTGTTAGCCAAATTTTGCTTCGCTAAACAATGTTTAATAAAATGGTGTGGCCTATTTATCAAGTATTCAGGTACATTAGAATTGTATTGTTTAAATCGACAATCCATTTTGTAATTAGATTCTGAATATCTTAAAAAATAAGAAAAAAATAAATTAACTAATATATATATATATATATATATATATATATATATATATATATATATATATATATATATATATATATATATATATATATATATATATATACATATAAATATATTTATATATAAAAACACACACAAAAAAAAAAAAATTAATATAAACTCCTTCAAATCAGGCTACAATAAAACTTTTTAATATACTTCTCAAATTTATCTGCAAAAAACTCTTCTATTAAAAGAGTAAGCATTCCAGTAATTGATGAATTTTTATGTCTTTGAAGATACGAATATTTAAAAGATTCGTGTTGCCTTTCAATTCCATTGTTGGTATTAAGGTTTACTAAAAATCTATCCTGACGATACCCCCATATCCATTTCTAGATAAAAATAATAACACTTGTTTTTGCAGATTTACATTGACATGAGTATAAATTAAACTTGTTTTAACCATAAATTAATGCTTTAAAATTTGCAATACTTGTGTTATGTACAGCAAAAAATGTTAAATAATGTTAAATTTGGGATAATAATTATAATGTTAAATATATACTCACTTCTTTAATTTGTAACCAATAATTAGTAATATATTTCTTAAATTTTTGAAATTTGTTGTCCAACCAAAAATTAGAACATTTTAGCTTAACTATTGCTTCATCTGCCATCTTTTCATTTTGTGCCCATGCAATATTTCGCAGCATTGAAATTATTGAGTCTTTAAATTCTGAGCAGTTGTTTGTTTTTTTGACAATCCAGCGATGCCATGCCTGCTCTCTATGGAAATCACATATAAGAACACGGCAACCTAAAAATAATTCTCTATATTTTAAAATAAGATAAAACGAATACAGATGAGTTACACAACGAAAAAAAAAAGAGTTTCAAGTGAACTAAAAAATGACAACAGGAAACGGTTCAAAATATTCTATTAAATGGTTTACATTATTTATTTTATTTATTACATTATTTACTTTCAAATGTATATTTAAACTGTCATACTATTTATTAACAAATGAAAACTATTAAAAACTTTATTTATACCTGGAAAAACAGCTTCTAATGAATCCATTTCTTCAGTACAATAATCAGTCATGCAAAAGGAAGGTTGAAAGGATGGGTTCCAATCTTTTATTATGTGAAGCGCTTCTGTGATGGCTTGTTTTGTTTCACATTCAATAACAAAACTGGCTACTATTTGGTAGTCAAAATTAGTTTTTACAGTTAAAAAGAAGAGAGGAAGAGAATATCTGGTAGTCCTGTATGTGGCATCAAGTAGCAGTATCTCAGTTCCATAGCGCATGAGAAGGTGTTGTTGCCACTGTGACTGATAAACAAATAAAAATGAACATTTATCACCACCATCTTCGCCACTACAGTTTGGTCTAAGAAACACTTTGACAGACGGACCACATTTTTTCCATTCTTCACATTTTATCAAAAGACATTCTTGGTCAATCATGGAATGCCTTTATAAATAGAAACAACAACATTAATAAAATGAAAGTTTTAAAGATTACTTTAAACATGAATCAAGTTAACGTCTAAATTAGTAAAACAAATCATTTCATATGTAGAATTTATTCTAAGAAATAATCAACATTTGTGATTTACCGTAACTTTTTTTTAATTTTTACTATATGTGATCTTATGGTTGCAGTGTTGGGATAGAATCTTCTGCTATTCGAAGGAGGAAGATTTTCATTTCCAAAAGTATCTTTTACTGTCAAACGAAGAAGGTGCTTCATTTCCCTTATATTGTATATTCCTTCTATAACATATTCTTCAATCTTTTTTGAAATATGAGGATCGATTATTTGAGAAATTAGTTCTACCTAATTTAAAAAATTATTTAATATGGTAAATTAATTAATAAACTACAGTACTGTTTTAAACCTTTTTGCAAGTACAAAGTATATACAAAAATTTTATTTTTACCTTTCCAATAGGGTGTTTATCATGACATGATAAATCATCAATAGCTACAACAACTTTCCGAATATAAGGTACTTCATTTAAACATAACAATTTTAATTTTTCTTTCAATAATTTTGATGCTTTTTTTTTGTGCCAAGCTGAATGCTTAGGTATCTAAATTAAAACAATAATACAAAAACAATAAGGACTAAACTGGGTTTATAGAGGGACTTAGTCAAGAAAGTTGAGTGAGACACCTAAAACTTAATCCTGTTTCAATAAAGGCATATTTTTAAAAAGATACATCTTTCCACTAACCTTAGGGGACCCTTAAACACAATTCAGGGCTGCTTTATGTCACACCACCATACATTACAAAATTAAAAAAGGCATGTTACCTATAATTTAGTTACTCAAACCTTGAAATCAGGAAATTGTAATATTTCTCTCATAACTATCTTTGCAGGACACATAAACTTTTTTGTATCTTGCAGAATCACATAATTTTTCTGAAAGCTGTGATCATCCATCTAAAAGAAACAAATGATAAAAGAAGACTTTTATTTAATGGGCACCACTTTTGGAATGTTGTTTATTTGTTTAAAATAGTGATGTTTTTTTTTTTTTTTTTTTAAACTCTATGGTATTAGAGAAACAAGAAAAAAAAATTTAATTGAGTATGAAAGATAAAAGTGATAACATTACCTTAGCATTTTTTTTATTTTTTTTATAACTATTTTTCGCTGAAATATTCCTATCAAAACCATGATGACAATCTAAAATTTTGTGACCAACAACCATATGAGGTATGCCTGAATACTGAATGGCATAATCTTCCCATAGAACATTATGATTTTTTGCAATCATTTCTATAAAAAAATATATAGTTTTTGGAATGTGACTAAACTTATTAAAAAATTATATAAAAGCAACACAAACAAATTTATTATAAAAAAGTGTATTATATATATATATATATATATAATATATATATATATATATATATATATATATATATATATATATATATATATATATATTAGGGTGGTGCTTAAAACAACTTTTTTGAGAAAAACCTGCTGGTACCCCCTAAATATGTTTTATCTAATACAAAAACACTAGGTTTAAAATTTTTTTGAACAAAAAATATTTTTAGGGGTAGCTCAAGGCCCTCAAAAATTTGACGGGTCCCTAATATTTTGAAAAAAAAACTTTTTCTAAAGTATGTCAACCTGGTACTCAAAATAAGCAAAATTATATAAAAAATTTAAAAATAAAAATAATTTTTTATAAAAATAATTTTTTCAGGTATAAATGCATAAAAACTATTGTTTTTAAGCTGAAAATAAAAAAAGTCAATATTTTCAGGTTTTTTGAGAATAGTTTTTTTTAGGCATGTTTTTTATGTAAAATGATTATTATTTTTGAAGTTTTTATATAATATCGCTTCTTTTGAGTACCAGGTTGACATACTTTAGAAAAAGTTTTTTTTTCAAAATATTAGGGACCCGTCAAATTTTTAAGGGCCTTGAGCTACCCCTAAAAATAATTTTTGTTCAAAAAAATTTTAAACCTAGTGTTTTTGTATTAGATAAAACACATTTAGGGGGTACCAGCAGGTTTTTCTCAAAAAAGTTGTTTTAAGGACCACCCTAATATATATATATATATATATATATATATATATATATATATATATATATATATATATATATATATATATATATATATATATATATATATTAATTATAAGATATTATTAAAACCTTATTATTATATATAAGTATATTATTACTTATATATATTAACAACATTATAATTATATATAAGTATATTATTACAACCTTAAAAAAACAAAACATATATATATACATATATATATATATATATATATATATATATATATATATATATATATATATATATATATATATATATATATATATATATATATATATATATATATATATAATAAAACATTTTATTCTGTATTATAGATATATAATGCTAACTTTGGCATATATTTATTCAGCGCAATTTAGTTCATAAAAACCATTAAAAATTTTATGAACTCTAAGTATTTCTAGAAACATTAAATAAATTAAAAACAAATGACGAAATGAGAATGATATTCATTTTTAATATTTTTAGTTATGATAAAGTTAATCTTGCATTTAAAGAAACTATTTTCATATTTAAGCCAAGTAATTTTATGTTAATCAAAAAAACATGTCACGAAATCATTGCTTTTACATTGCAAATATTTGTGTAATGCAAAATGATTTTTTTTCAAAACTAGGTCACTACAAACTATAGTTTACCTGTTATTCCAAAGTCCTTGGTTACACTATAGACAACAAATCTTGTTGTAGTTGCTAACTCATATTTTTTCACACAGTTTAATGCTTCTTCATGCGAATTACAATGATAAATTAATTTTTTTTTTCCTTCTATAAAAATTAAAATCAAATTGATCAGTATACTTTCAGTGAATATGAAAATAGACTATAAAAACTATTTTGAATATTTCTTACAACAAAAAAAAAAGGCACACTAAATGATATCACAAACCTTTGTATAAAGTTTTGTGATATCATTAGAAAAAAGTTTAATAAATGCGAACTTTAAATAAAGAACTTTAAATAAAAAATAAGTAAAGAACTTTTTAGGCATAAAAAAAAGCCTATATTAAAGTACTAGACCTAGCACTTAATGCACTGTCAATTTAACTGTTAACTGCTACAAAAACTTAGTTTATCTTACAAAAAACTAACTAATTTTAAACTTTAGATAATAATTTTAAATCACAAACAATTGCAAAAAAAAAATTCTATATGACGACAATTTTTTTGTTTTGATTGTTCTTGTGCTGTCCATTTAAATAACATATATATGCTACTGACACCATTTTTTCTTTTTTTTTCCTATAGAAGAAATAAGAAAAAAACTGGCAGTTTTTGTACGGTAACAGTGACTAAAAACATACCATAAACAATATCACGTGTAGGTAAACAATTATTTTCAATGATACTCAAACTTTGTTCATAGACTTCTAAATTAAAAAATATGTCAATAACTATATAATTATTTATTGCATTTATTTTGTTTATAACATTGTTATAAACAAAAAAAAATGTAATAGGTTTTGCATTTATTAAACTGAAAATGTTTATATATTAAGTTACCTTTTATATTTCCGCTTTCTTCATCAGAGCTTATTTCATCAGAACTGCTGAAATTCAAATTTTCGCCATACATAGATAAATCCATAATCTTTGTTTTTGTTTGCTTTAATAATAATCCTTAGTATTTAATATTACGCTTCCTCGTGCAATTATTTGCTGTTTTGCATTAACTCGAACAAATAAAAAAATTAACGGCCACCGAAAACATCGACCTACTTTGGAGTTATGTTAACGTCTGCTAACCCAGGAATATAGTAAAATGGGGTCAAATGGAATTTTAAGTTGTAGAGAATATTGAGCTGTATTTGAATAAATAAAAATAATAAAAATGAAAAATTAAAGCTTTTTATAAAACTTTACTTGAATAAAAAAAAAATTATTCCATTCTACACACATTCTACATACGGGGAGAATGAAATACGCAAATGTATGTGTAATTAAAACGATACTTTATTAAAAAAACGAAAAGCAATCAACAATAACAATTAAAAAATCAATCAAATAAAAAAAACTTTTTTATTCTTGTGATGATGTTGAGTCGTTTAGAGGTTCTAGAGATTGAGTTGAGTTTTCAGTTGTGCGGCACTTTTTGGTGCAATAAAACTCAGCGCCTTTTGCGTATCGCTTTGGTATGCATGTTTGACATAGCCAAACGTTGCAATTTAATAAGAGAGCAACTAGCGTATTTCATTCATTTATTAGAACCATTTAATAAAAGCAATCAGTAAAAGTCATTCATTTAAATTCAGACAGAAAAATTCGTTCATTGAAATTTATACAAAAATTTATAGCTAGAGATTTATTGGTCACTTAGTCACACAAAATTATTTAAAAAAAAAAAGCCGCATTTAAGAACTGCTCCACTTATTATTAGCGTATTTCATTTAACCCAACAATTCTCCTTTTCCGTTTTTTACTCATAACTTTTTTCTAAAATTTTATTCAACATTCATTTTAGACTACCATATAAAATATACATTTATTATCGTGAAAAAAAGAAAATATATATATACACAAAATTATTACATATCAGATTGATAAAATACATTAATATAATATTGATACACTAATATAGTATTGATGCAATATATATATATATATATATATATATATATATATATATATATATATATTATATATATATATATATATATATATATATATATATAATATAAAATATATATAATATATATATATATATAATATAAAAAATATATTATATATATATATATATATATATATATGTATATATCTATTTGTATACATTTAAATATATATATATATATATTTATATATATATATATATATATATATATATATATATATATATATATATATATATATATATAAATATATATATATATATATATATATATACAAGGCCGGTGCGATAGGGGTGTGTGGGGAGGTGTAACACCCGCCCATCAATGACTTTTAGTCGGCAAATTTGACCCTTTTTGACTAGTTAGTCAGCAAATGTGGACCCTGTCGATAGGTTAGTCGGTAAAGTCAGTCGGCAATTGTCGCTATGGCAGTCGGTAAACATTAAAAAAACGAGGACATTTTTTTTTACGGAAAAAGTTGTAATGGCACCCTTCCCACGTGACGCCTAATCGCGCCGGCCCTGTCCAAGGATCCAAAATTTTTTTTAATTATAATAAAAAAATAATACTGGTTTATCGACTTTTTCAAAAATAAAAAAAAGTAACATATTAAAAAAGTTTTTACATACATATTTTTTACATAATTTTTTTGAAAGTAGATAATACTATTTAAAAAAAAAAACGCTTATTAAATAAAAATATCCATTCTTTATTGTGTTTGTAATTGTTTTACGCTTGTGAAATTTTCGAATAAATATTTTTGCGGTATAATAATCCTAACACGTTTAAGACGCAATTACATCACTCAAAATAGCTTTCGCGTCAATTAAAGAACTACAGCTGTTTTTGGAAAATATAAAAATTTCCATTGGTATAAAAAATGAATAAAATTATTTTTTTGCAAGAAAATGAACAAGGTTAAATGAGTCACTCAACCTTGTTCGCAAACAATATGGTTACTCATTAAGTGATTATTGAAGTTTAGTGAAAATTGAGTGATTCTCCATATTGTTGGTTATCTTTGCTCTAGAATAACTAATATTATTTTTTAAATTATGTTTCCCCCCTTCCTCCTAATATTTTTTCAAATATATAATTTTGTTGTTTTTAGAAAAAAGCAAACAACAAATATAAAAGAAAAAAACATGTAATTTGTTATCTGTATTTTTGGCGTAAGTTTCTTTTAAATTTTTTTTTGACCTACTACTATTTGACCTACCCAGTACTACTGCTCCCCCCCCCCCCCCATATAATTTTTGTTCGTACGGGCCTGTTCTGCATGCACTTTCGTAAGTTAGTATCTTGCGTTTGTTTAAATTAATTCGTTAAAGAAACTAAGGAATGTAAGTACTAAAATAAATTTACTCTAAAATATGTTTGCATTTGACGCTTGCTTGTTAATATTCAAAAAATATACTTGCTTGTTAATATTCAAAAAATATACATACATTGTAAAAAGAATATACATTGTAAAAAAAATGTAAATAATAATATATACATTGTAAAAAGAATGTACATAAAAATGTAAAAGATTTAGAAAATTGTTTTAATTCCAAATACGCACAAAGCCATTATAGTCACCAGTGGCTACAGCATTTCCATCATCTGCCACTCCTAAACCACTTACACAACCACGATCTTTAGATCGTGGTCGTGTAAGTTGTTTAGGAGTGGCAGGAAAACACCAGCACGATTGCCAGGAAAACACCAGCACGATTGCCTTTCAAAGTATTCCAAACAATACAGTCAAAATTATCATAGCCAGCAAATAACTGTTTTTTTTTTGTTTTTTTTAATTTTTACATTTGTTGGTCGTATTACAACTATATATTGCCAAAGAAAAATAAAATAAAAATAATGATAATAATAATAAACTTTCACAAATATAAAATAAGGTATCTGAAAGAAGATCAAAGGATCTTGTCGTCAGAACCTTGAATAAGTTCAAACAAGCATTAACAGAATCAAAATTTTACAAATTTCATATATATATATAATCCAAATATATATTTTATAATTCAAAGAGAGATCACGCGGATCTACTCACCAATATTTTATATAAACGTATACGTGAAGTAAAGAATATTAAATCAACAAAATAAGAAAGAATAAACTTATAAATATAAATAAGAAAAGGCAAAGTTATTAATTTATATTATTAATAATAACATATCGTTTTTTGGAAAGCGAATGGAATAAGGTCCACTTTGTTTTATTAGAATTTAGAGTTAACTTATTTTATTTAAACCAACTCGATACATGTATAAGCTCTTTGTTTATTGTTTTAAAAAGTTCAAAGATATTACTGTTAGAAAGAAGTAAGTTAGTATCATCTGCAAACATAATACTTGTTAGTTTAGAGGCTTTATTTAAATCATTGATATAAATTAGGAAAAGGAGTGGACCAAGAATTGAGCCTAGTGGGACTCCACATGTTATAGAAAGACAATTGGTGTGATGACCGTCATTACTCGGAACAAATTGTTTACGATTTGACAAATAGCTTTCAAACCATTTTAAAACTTTATTTTTTATTCCATAGTGTTTAAGTTTATGGATTAGAATTTGGTGGTCAACCGTATTAAAAGCATTTGATAGATCAATAAAAAGTACTAGAGTATATTGTGATTTTTGAAATGATTTTGAGATTTCCCGTACAAATTGGATAATTGCATGTTTAGTTGAGCTATCCTTTTTAAAACCGAATTGATTAATGTTAAGTAATTTATTAACATGAAAATATTTGTATACTCTGTTATATATAATTCTTTCTAAAATTTTTGAAAAGGTGGAAAGAACAGAAATAGGGCGATAATTACTTATAATTGATTTGTCCCCGTCTTTAAAAATAGGAATAATTTTGGCAATTTTTAACAGTTCGGGGAAAACACCGTGATGGATAGAAGCTTTAAAAACTTTAAAAAGAACGACTTTTAGCTGTTCAAAACAATCTATAATAACGTTTCCATTTATTTGATCTGCTCCAATTGCTTAATTGTTTTTTAAAGATTTGAAGGCTCTTTCAAACTCTTTAAACAATAATTCAGAAGACAACTTAACTGAACCAATGCAATTATCAATGGGTACTAGAAAATCAGTAAATAAAGATTTGGTCTTTGGGATTTTTTTAGAAAGTGTTGGACCTATATCGATAACAAATTTGTTAAATTCTTGAGCTATAGTTCTTGGTTCGTATAAACTTTTGTTATCGACTCTAACCATTTGTGGCAGAAAACCTGAGCATGATTTTTGTTTTCCAATAATTTCATTCATTATTTGCCATGTGCATTTTGTGTCATTTTTAAATGTTTTGAGTAATTGGGAGTAATAATTTTTTTTTTAGATTTTTGCAAATATTTTCAAATAGATTTTTATAGTCCTTGTAAATTTTTTCGTTTTTAGGTGTTTTTGTTTTTAAAAAATTTATATATAGTTTTTGCTTAATTTTGGACGATTTTTTAAAGCTCTTAGTAGTTATTTTATTTTCAATGCTTGGGAAGTTAGCATCGTATACAGAAAAAAATGTTTTGAAAAAAAACTCATAGATATTGTTAGCATTATCATTAAAATTTATGTTATTCCAGTGTAGTAATGAAAGTTGATTTTGGAATAAATTAAGGTTGGCCTCATTATAAATGCGTTTTCTAATTACTCTTTGTGCAGTTAGGGGCCATCCATAAAGTACGTACGCAGTAAAACCACTGATTTAGGACCCCCCCCTCCCCCCTTGTACGCACTTGTATGCTTTCAACTACCTCCCCCCCCTTCTGCGTACGTACGCATTTTTTATTACAAGTTCAGGCTCTCCTCCCCTTCCTTCCCCAACGCATTAATTTTTCAAAACATGAAACACAAAAAAACATTTTGTTAATTTCTCTGTGCTTAATTAAAAACCGGAAAGTTATTTGTTAATAACTTTCCAGTTTTTGTTAAAGAAAGAAAAATATTCTAAAAAAGAATTCTTGTTGCGAGTATTTATATTTCATATTTCCTCAAATGGTGACTTAAATAAATCAAATATGTTATCAAATACAGGCATGAACTCTGCTTCCACACTTTTATAATCAATCTCCTCACTGATATCTTCACTTTTATTAATAGATTCACTGTCACTTACACTATCCTCACTCTCCATTTCAACCGTGTTTTTTTTTTGTGTATGTGCTTTCTTGTGCCGTTTCATTGCAGCCTCGCTTGGCCAGTATTTATTGCACTTGTCGCAAATTCCGTTTGAGAGCTTTTCCTTTAACGATGGGCGATACAGATCAAATGGTATAATTTTGTATTTTAATCCTTCTATAGGTATATCATGTAGCAAACGTTGATTGTTTTGATACGTTTTTAAATATCGAGACGGTTCCATTGCTTTGTAACCATTCTCGCAGTATTCGTAGATTGCCGGAAATGGAATGAAACGTTGGGGGAAGTTTTTCAGCCAGTTTGTTTCAAACGGTGTGCAACATGACTCCTCTTGGCATTTTACGATTTGTAGGCTGTATCGCGATTGCTGACAATGTTTGTCTACCCAAACAGGATCTGGAATTGGTGGTTCATATGCTTTCCCAACTGGTACAGCCTGGCAATGAACAGGATACCCGTCAATGACGGTTTTCTCCCAAACTTGGGATAAAACGTCAGCCGCTTTTTGAAAGTTCTCTACCTCCAATTCATAGTCGATTGTTTTTCCAGAAGAATCAAGGTGATTGCCAAAAAAATCATGAGGAAGGACTATTCCAGCCAAATCACGAGAAAGAGGTGCCATTCTTCGTTCTACGGGGTTAAAGGCTGAAAGGCCAGCTGCATTCACACCATGAAGAAGGGCATCTAAATTAAGCAAGCGAAAGAGGTCAACAGCAGTTGCTAAGGTTTTAGGGAAACGTGGTGCTTCATCCTGAGCTCCATCAGTCTCCATTAACATAATTGGTCTACGTTTAACCAACTCGGTTTTAAAAAGCTCTCTAACATCAAAAGCATGTGTAAAAGCATTTGATGTATCGTGTTTCGCACTTCTTATGCGTATGAAAGTGTCCCCACTGTATGATACATTTCCAGTATTGTTAACTTCGCATACGCCATACACTGATGGGATCAATTTGTGCTGTGAGCTAACGACAAAATCGTGATCCATGAGTTTGACCTTGTATTCCATATGCATCAGCAACGGCGCTTGAAGGCTTGCTGCAGCAATACCCAATGAGACCCTGGCTTTATCATCGTTGGAAATGAAAAGCACAGCTTTTGGTCCAAACAATTTGCAAACTTCGAACATGTCGTCAATGAATGATTTGGCAAACATTCTATCGTCATTTTTTTTTCGCATTGAGTTTTCTGGACGTAACAGCTTTACTGGAACTGTGCTGACATGTTTTTTTCCTTCAGAAGTGTTTCCACGTCGTGGTAAAAGACGAAGGTACAAACCACTCCTACTCAAGGTAAAGCCTATCTTTGTCAACTCTTCCTGAAGGTCATCTAAAGTGGAGACGCTACGGAGACATTCTGTTCTTTGACGTTCGTCAGCTGCTGATAAATTTTGCACAATTTTTATAATTGTTGATAAAAGCTCTGGTTGGTCAACTTCGAGACGTGGTCGTCCAGTATGGTTTCGACTAAACTGTTTCAAAGCACTTGATGCTTCAGGGATGTTCTGACACACAGTTTCGATGCTCTCTTTAAGTTTTTGTCTTCGTTTTCTTTGACGAGCTGATTCACGAATCAATCTGAAAACGAAATATCAGTAAAGCTTTGATTCCGTTATAAAAACTTCTATACTTAAGGTTTCGCAACTTTTGGCTAATGTTGCAAAAGAAAAAGTACGCAAATTCTTATTTCAAATAAGAAAGTATTTTTTACAATAAGATTATGAAAGTTTCTGTCTTTAAAAATGTTTGGTTTTTATAGCCAAGACGCTTTTCTATACGCATAAATAAACTCTGTATTATTTAACATATATCTCTTGATATTTACTAGAAACCTGACAGTTAAGCATTCTAAAATGAAATATCAAATAAAGAAATACATAACTAAATTATCTTACCTGTCCAATTTTGTTTTTTCTTTTCTTATGGTTTCTTTCACAGTGTTTATTTGTTCCTTTGTTACGGTAGATAAACCAGAATCATGTACGACTATCAAGGATGCACGTTGTGATTCAAGATCTGAGATTTTCTTTCGACTCCTAACTTGTGCCGGATTTTCTCTTTCTTTTTTGTTGTCTGTTAAATCTAAATTAAAAAATGCCAAAAAATAAGCTATTATAAATTCTTGACAATTACTACTAATCAATTTATTTTGTATATAGAAAAATAGGTCTAGTGGTCAACATTATAAATTTCTGTGACTGCTCTAAGGTCGTACGATGTAGTTTGATTTACAATACGGTTAAACTCAGTAGGCCGGGTGAATAAAAAAGAGCAATTGCTTTTACTCAGTAATTGTTCAGTTTTACGTGAATAAAAAATTGAGCAATTATCCTCAAATTTCTGTTTACGTAAAGTTGAGCGTTGTTGGAGTAAATTGTTCAGCTTTACGTGAATAAAAATTTGAGCAATCTTGGTGAAATTTTTATTCACGCAAAGCTGAACAGTTACTGAGAAAAAGCAATTGCTCTTTTTTATTCACCCGGCCTAATGTATAGAAAATCACAAGAGAGAAAAAGTTTTTAAAATATTACAGAAATTAGCTTACTAATTTCAATCCTTGCAGGTTCTGTCGTAGTTGCATTTAGGAAACTTCGTGTTTCATTTAACGAAGACGGCGCTGGATGGATATCTTTTTTCTTTTTGCTAGGTGGTGAAATGGTGTTTCCCCAGAATGACATAAGTGATACTTTCGACTTTGTTACTTTCTCTTTTAACTCATTTATTTTTTTTTCATACAAGGATTCATTGTTTTTTACTATTTTCCACAACTCTAGTGCTTGCTGATACTGCTTTTGTTTTTCAAGTGTTGAATATGCTTTTTTATATAACTCAAGGAATTGAAGGTATTTTTTCTCGTTCCCGCGCGGCATCTTGGTCATAATAAATAATAAGTTTTTTTTCCAATGAGGCGTATTGAGTTTTCGAATAGAATCATAAAAGTTTTTTTTGTTTTAGTTTACTCAAGATAATTGCCGTTACATTGCATCATAAAAAGTGTTGGTTTCCATCAGCATTTAAAGTAACTATTTTTTTACAATTATCACAATGATTGTCATATGCATTGTCACATGTATGTTCATTTCGCTTCGCCTGTCCTTAGCAATCTTAATGTATGTTAATATTAACTTTAATGATAAAAAAAATAATAACATTACCTTTTTTTGTTTATTGTTTTTTAAAAACAAAATATTAACCTTTTAAGAGAAATGGGAAAAACCAGGTTCGTAATTAAACAAAGAATTCAGAAGAAGTTTTCTTTGATTACAGTTTTGTTACTTTTCATCTTGCTACAGTCGAATTATGTTGCAAAAAATGGAAAACATTATTTGGAGATATTATAGCTCGATTTTTTCTCTCCTCGTTACTTATAAAGAAAAATAAAAAACAATTGTAATTGAAGTCAGAAAAAAAAATAACATATATTATATTATGATTTTTTAACGTGAAATTCAATATTTTTATAAAAAAACATTAAAACACGTGAAATTCAATGTTTTTATAAAGAAGTTTTGGAGAGATAGTTAAACCGCGTACGTACTCGCTGTCGTTAACACCCTCCCCCCCTGTACGCATTCGTACGTTTCAGGATAACCCCCCCTCCCCCCATACATGCGTACGTACTTTATGGATGGCCCCATAGGGAAATGATCTGTTATATATCGATTTGCAAAATACCTAATTTTAGATCATTGTTGAAAATATCTGAAGTTATTATATTATCTATTAGAGATGCTGAATTTCTCGTTACTCTTGTAGGTTCGTTTATTAAAGATACTGAACCCGTTTCAAAAATTTCATTATAAAAATTTTTAACTTCAAGGTTATCATTATAAAGAAAACAGTTCATGTTTAAATCTCCAATTATAAAATTTTTTTTTTTTTCAACAGTACCTTTTTTAATAATTTGTTGTAAAAACATGCTAAAGTTTTCGCTTACGCCATCAGGTGGCCGATAACAACAGCTTAGTAAAAATTTTTTTTTGTTGCAGTTAGTAATTTCTATAGTTGCAATTTCTTTATCGCAGTCAGAAACGCTCAAATCATGCCTAAAACAATGCTCAAAATTTTAGTGAACATAAATTAAAACTCCACCACCGCGCTTATTTGTTTTCCTTTCCATTAAAAATGTATTAAAATGAGGTAGATGAAAATTATTTAGGTTTTCTAAAGAAATCCAAGTTTCCGTTAAACAAATTATATCAAAAACATGTTCAGTTTCTTCTAATAAGTCTAAAAGTTTTTCAAAATTGCTATTTAAGCTTCTTATATTGAGGTGGAGAATTAACATTTGATTATTATTTCTTTCATTCTCATTCTTAAAAAGAAACCCTTCTAGTTGGCTAGGAAAGTAATATGAACAATCTGAAAATTTATTGTAATAAATATTGTAATCAGAGTCTAAATTTTCATTTAACGTAGAGTAATTTGTTTTTTGAATTTTAAAAACACGAGATTCAAAGTTTTCATTTGTAGCCATGATTAATATATTTTATTTAAGATTTCTTTTTAGGAATGCCCATTAAATTATTCGCTAAAATTGTTTTTAAAAGAAGTTTTAATATAAAAAATTTTGTCATACCTTACCGTAACACTTTCACCATTCAATCGCCTTTCTTTAACTTCAGCAAACAATTATTTTCGAATAGCGACGGTTTCTTGAGAAAAATCTTTGTTTACGAACGTATTTGTGCCTTTGAGTCGATACAATTCCTTTAATATTCTTATTTTGTCTTTATATTTCTGAAGATTTAATAATATAGTCCTTGGTCGTCCATCGTTTTTTCTTCCAGTGCGGTGAGCTCTTTCAATTTCAACATCTTTTAGTCGTCCGCTTATAGAAAAAGTTTTAGAAAACAGTCGTCACGTATATCATTGCAAAAAGATCGTCAGTATGACGCAAAAACATCCAGTTGTCCAGTTTAATGTCCCACAAACAACAAGTTTTATCTTGCAGATTTTTAGATGACGCTCAAATTTTGACAAGTTCTGCAAACTTGTTAAAATTTGATCATCATCTAAAAATCTGCAACAAGTTACATGACCTGTATGTCCATACAACTCCCGTGTTATTACAATATGTTGTTTTGTTTTTAAATTGTAAATTGTACAAATTTTGTTGGCGCTACCAGAAGCAACATAATCTCCAGACTGAGCATATGCACATGTCATAAAACAATTTGTTTTTCGGACGAAAAAGCATAAACCTTTTTTTTTGAGGTGTTCCAAACAATTAGCTTGCTATCTTGTGCAACACTTAGTAAACTCCTTATGAAGATTAGTAAGTGTTGCACAAGATTCAATTGAATCACATCACACTCGAAAAATTAGTGCCATACATGCCAATGTATTGCACTAATTATTCAAGTATGACTACACAGTTTTTTTCTAGTTCGCATTCGAATTTTGCTCATTTGATCTACATTTTGAGTAACCAATAAAAAATTTGTATCTTGAGCAACTTTGCGTGCATCGCTGATTTGTCTCTTCAAATCTTCTGCTTCTTGTCGAAGATTGTCTATTTCTGAAACACTCATTATATAATTGCTATAAATAAACTGAAATTCAATAGTTATATGATTATATGATAAATCAATTTAATATTGTTTTTCAAAACACCTTAATGTATCTCGAGAAAAGAGCAATTTAAAAAAGAATAAAACGCTTTTTGAAACTAATAACTTTTATGAATTTTTTTTGAACTCTTTGAAAATATGTGTTAAATAACGTTTGTAGACATCTAAACTAGCATATTTTGTAAAAAAGATAAAAATTGATTTTTTTTACCTTAAGGTGTTTTGAAAAACGGACTTCAGTATAAGTCAATAACATATTTCAATAACGACTTGTATTTTATGTACGTAAACAAATTAAGTAAAAAACGTAACTCGCATATTGTGTATTAAAAAAAGCAATTAAAATGTTCTCTTGTTTTGAAAGTATTTTCAAACGTAAGAGTTTGCTTAAATTACGAAATAAATAAAACTTTATAAACGTTAAATTAAAAACATGAAACCTATAATTTTATTAGAACAATATTATTCATTATTTTCTTCACATCGTATTATCACGCTTTTCTAATTAAAAAAATGCCATTACCACAAGCATTTCTCTCCATTGAGACAAGAATTACAATAAAAAAAAATAAAGTGTTACAAGGCTTTATTTACTACAAATTTTGAGTTTGCTAGGAGAAATTCAGTCACAAAAATGTAATTTTTATTGATTTTTTTAAACTTTTTAAATCACCTTATCAGGTTTGAATACAATAAAAAGAAAAGATAAAAGTCAAATCGACAAAGACTTGAAGAGTTTACTTGATATGAACTGGTTATGTGATTTATTTTCCGCCAGCTCGTTGCCTTGTGGAGGCTAAATAACCAAGGTCCGCAGAGATTATATTTATATAGACAGAGATTATATTTATATAGGCCCATAAGTACACCTTTCGGAGCTACAATTGTTGAGGATTTTTTTTGGAGAATTATCACACATTTATGTTCTCTTGAACAAAGTTTTACATTTATGTTATTTTATTCCTGGTCGTAATTTTATTGTACCGTATCCTACCGTGCGACATTAAAGATTCGGTATTATTTAAAGACAGAAGTGATAAATGGGTGTGATATGACACATTTGACATTTTATAGAATGTTGATGGCACTTTAATTACAAAAACTGAACGATATTTAAATTACCAAATAAAATTTTAACTATAGCCCTAAATCTTGGTAAAAATATATACATTTAATATACGTGGTCCAATTGCTCCCTACCCCCTCGTTTTTTTTCGCGATTTTATTTTTTTAACTTCTTAACTGTCTTGGCACGATACAAAACTTTTTTTTTTCTGAATATAATGCTAAGCCTCTTATAGAGATATGTTATCTGTCACTGTAAAAAAAAAGTTTTGGAATTTCATAATATTCATTTATTTCTATAGAAAAATCAAGTATATGAAAAAAGTGGTCTTAATGCCCTTCTTTGCCCTATAATATTTGCCCTCCTTTGCTAATAATTTGCCAGACCAGGCACCAGGTATTTGCTGATGGTCGTACTTGATATATATATATATATATATATATATATATATATATATATATATATATATATATATATATATTTATACTTTTTGTAAATGCAATGCATTCTAGTAAAGCTGCACTGAGCAGTGTACGCCTTAGGGATGAATAATAAGTACAAAAGGACAGATGTCCAAGGGAAAACAAAGAGCCTCAAAGATGATAAAAGTACAAAAGGACAGATGTCCAAGGGAAAACAAAGAGCCTCAAAGTGGAAAAATATTAAAAACTGATTTGAGTTAAGTGTAGTAAAAAGTAAATAAGAATAATAAACAACAGTCAAGGAAAGTCATTAGTTGTTGTGCTACTAATTTGTTGTTAGAGTCCAGCGTAAATGTGATTTGTAGATAGAATTGGTAATGGAGTAGAATTATTCGTTTTATAAAAAATCACCATGTGGTTTGTATTCTAAGGGTGATAAATCTTCATTATAGATGTAAGTGTCATGAACGTCTCGAGTACAGTATGAACTGGTGCCCTATGGTGCAGTGTGAACGCATAAAGACCTCCAGCTTTCAACCAAAACTGGTATCCCAAAAGAAATTCCACTCTGGGTCTACACCTAAGAAAAATGATTGCTCGCGTAACCTTTCTTTCATTACTTACCATCCTTTTAAGAACCATCACGATTTAACATCAAAAAGGACATTGAGGAGAAGGGTTCGAAGACGACAAAATATTCAAGAGAGAATTGCAGCTAAGCGGAACTTAGAGGCATCTATAGATAGTGAGGGAACATTAGAAAAGGAGCAGAAAGTGGTCGAAGAACCACCAGTAAAAATAAATAAAGATACAGAAGAAGTGGAAAATACATTAAGGTTCTTGGCCGATAATTTAGACGTTTTCACGAACAATATAATTGTAAAGTAAGGTACATTTAAATGATAAATATATACTTAAAAACATTAGTAACATAATTCCGAATCACCACCTATTGTAATACCAATGATTTCTTACCCCTATAACCCTTATCCCAACCGGAACATGTGAATTTATCCAGAATCTACGTGTAACCCAAACCCTTATTATCAATAATTATCACAACAATTATCATAAATATATTAAACATCTAAATCCCCCTTAGAACAACTGCTCTAGATATACCCACTAAGACATTGAATTACAGAGACAGCCAATTTCAATACTTGTCTCTAAAATAAAACCGATGACAATAACAAAAAATAATTCCCGCGGAAAATGATAGAAAAACTCACCTTGAGAATTACCTAACTCTTTTCGCGGAGACTAAAGAAGCTCTGACACGTAAATAGAACAATAGACCATTGAAAACTTACAACGATAGAACAATGGAATTTCTAAAGACAGAAGTTTTACATTTTTATGTGCACACGTTTCGTTCGTATCAGATATCTGCTAACAAGCGAAGAAAAAGCAACTTTGGCGTTCAGAAATATATTTTTTCA